TAAGGTATCGAAAATAGGGGCAGAAGAGATCAACTTTCACTGTTGCTGATGATATCATATTGTATCTAGAAAACCCCAAAGATTCAACCAAGAAACTCTTGGAACTGATCAATGAATTCTAGTAAAGTTCAGGATAACAAAATCAATACACTGAAATCAGAGTATTCATATACACCAAACAACATCTAATTGAGAACCAAATCAAGACTCAATTCCTTCACAATAGCAACAAAGAAATTAAAGTACCTAAAAGAGAGAATTATACATGTCAAAGCATATAAACTTAAAGAGAGACTATAGACACAGGGAGGAGATAAGATACGATGAAACCATACAATAAAAAGATACAATTAGGAATCAAGACAAGACTCAACATCATCAAATATCTATACTACCCAAACTGATCCACAGATTCAATGCAATACCTATTAAAATGCCACCAGCATTCTTCACAGATATAAAAAAAATAATTTTACGCTTCGTATGGAACCAATGAAGACTCCGAATATCAAAAGCAATTCTAGGCAACAAAAACAAAATGGGAGGCATTAATATGCCAGATATCAAACTATACTACAAAGCTGTAAGTAATAAATCAATCTGGTATGTGCACATTAGGAATATGGCCAGTGGAACAGATGTAAGTTCCTGTATACCTCTCTATAGTCATCTAATCTTTGACAAGCAGAAAACATACACTGGGAAAAAACCCTTCAATAAATGGTGCTGGGATAAATGGATAGCCACTTGTAGAAGGCTAAAGCAAGGACCACACCTTTTTCACCTCTCACAAAAATCAACTCTCGCTGGATAACAGACTTAAACCTAAGATACGAAACTGTTAGAATTCTAGAAGAAAATGTTGGAAACACTCTCCTAGACATCGGCCTAGGCAAGAGTTTATGAAGAAGTCCCGAGAGCAATCAGCAGCAAGCAAACAAATAAATAAATGGGACATGATCAAACTAACACTCTGCACAGCCAAAGAAATAGTCATGGAAGTAAACAGACAACCTACAGAATGGAGAAAATTTTGCATCCTATGCATCCGATAAGGGACTGATAACTAGAATATACTTAGAACTCATGAAAATCAGGAAGAAAAAAATCAAATAACCCCATTAAAAAGTGGGCAAAGGACTTGAACAGAAACTTTTCCAAAGAAGACAGAAGAATGGCCAACAAACATATGAAAAAATGCTCAACATCTCTAATCATCAGGGAAATGCAAATCAAAACCACAATGAGGTATCACTTAACTCCAGTGAGAATGGCCTTTATCAAAAAGTCTCCAAACAATAAATGCTGGCGTGGATGCGGAGAGAGAGGAATAATCCTACACTGCTGGTGGGACTGCAAAATAGTTCAACCTCTGTGGAAAGCAATATGGAGATACCTTAAAGCGATACAAGTGAATCTACCATTTGATCCAGCAATCCCATTGGTAGGCATCTACCCAAAAGATCCAATGACACTCTACAAAAAAGACACCTGCACTCGAATGTTTATAGCAGCACAATTCATAATTGCAAGGCTGTGGAAACAGCCCAAGTGCCCATCAATTCAAGAATGGATTAATAAAATGTGGTATATGTATACCATGGAGTACTATTCAGCTCTAAGAAACAATGGTGATATAGCACATCTTATATTTTCCTGGTTAGAGCTGGTACCCATACTATTAATTGAAGTTTCCCAAGAATGGAAAAACAAGTACCACATATACTCACCAGCAAATTGGTATTAACTGAACAGTACCTAAGTGGTCACACATAGGTACTACAGTAATAGGGTATTGGGCAGGTGGGAGGGGGGCGGGTATATACATATATAATGAGTGAGATGTGCACCATCTGGGGGATGGTCATGCTGGAAACTCAGACTTGTGTGGGAAGGGTGGGAAATGGGCATTTATTGAAACCTTAAAATCTGTACCCCCATAATATGCCAAAATAAAAACAAACAAACAACAACAACAAAAAAACACAGGACAGATGCTGAATTCAGAACAAAAAGCACAACTCAGAAAACCTAAAGCCACAGGGTCCAAGTGTGCTGCTCTCTGATTGGCTGATTCAATTCAGGGACAAAATTCACATTATCTAGAGGACTTCATGAACTCAAATCCTTCATGAATATTACTCCTTGATGCCAAGCTTTTTACAGAGAATTAGGTCTCAGTGCTCAAGATTATATTATTTTAAAAAAATCTGGAGAGCAGAAATTCTATTAGGGGTAAACCAAATGGCAGACCTGCCGTTCCTTTATAAATATTTAATAATTAAAAGCACACACTTGGTAGTCAGACAGATCAGTCTGAATCCCATCCCAGCCACCTAATGTTAAAACTTACACAATTAACTTAACTAAGCCTTAGTTTTTCATCTGTAAAATGGAAAAAATTGGTGATGAATAACTCAGGAAGTTACAGAGATAAATTGAGAAAATGCAAGTGAAGTGCCTAGTGTAGCACCTGGCATATAAGCAGCACTCAAAAAATATTAGCTACTATTATTAGTTCAAAAAACATGACAAACAAAGTAACACAAAATATGGAGTAAAAAATTTAAAAAATAAAGCATAGATTAGGACTAAAATACACATCACGTAAATAAAGCCTGTTTGATATTCTTAGTGTGTTTGCATGCATGCAGACACATATACACTCTGGCATTTTCTAATATGGACTCCTAGGATAGCACTTTTGTACTATTCTTTCCCTAGTATCATTTTTATACTATGTTTATCAGCTGAAATATGTCTATGTTTCTCATTCCAGAGACACTGGGGAGAAGACTCAACCAACAATAAAAAAAAATAAGCGAATAAGCATATGTCACCCAACAACTTCTCTTATCTGTTTCTTTAATACTTTAATACTTAATACTGATACTTTAATCTCAACAAATATAATCAGTTATGCCATAAATAAATGTTGAGTGGCAACATATTCCCTATTGTCTAAAGTCCAGTCAATAGCTGACTTCACAATCCCTCCTTATTGCTCATGCTTAGAGGAATAATGATATCACATGCTCAGACTGACCCATAAACAGGTGGCCTGGTGCCATTTTGTAGAAACTCTGAAACTTATTCAAAGAAACTAAGAGGAGCTGAAGTGCCAGGGGCTCTAGTTTCATAAGTCAACTCAACATCTTTGCAACCCATCACAGCACTGTCCCATTCTTAGTTGTACTGTTCTACTTTTGCTCTGGAAAGAAGAGAATTGATTCCATCTTACCAAACCCATCTTAGCTAACAAACTAGATATTCCTGTCTTAAGTTTATTTTTAGTTTAAGGCAATGAGTACCTCATCCTAGTTTTATTATTAATGTTTGCCTGCTTTCTTTTCACAACCATAGACTATATGTTGAGTCCTTGACTGTGGGAAAGACAGTTTAGAGTTTGTAGTGTGTAATAATAGTCTTTTCATTACTCATAATTTGGAGAGGGTAGTTCTACAAAAAAGAAAGGATGACCTAGTGTACTTGGTTGATTGTACTTGGCTAAAACAGATTACTGATTACTTCCCCCAGAGTTTCTGACTCAGTAGGTCTAGGGTGGAATCTGAGAATTTGCATTTCTAACAAGTTCCTGGATGATGCTAAAGCTATGGGTCCCCAGACCACACTTTGAGAACCATTGGTTTAAAGCGATAAATCTCTTACTTATGTTACAGACATTTGGGGATGTTACTTTTTCCTTTTGAAAACCTTAAAGAAGAAAAAATGAATCCAACTGGTCTAAAGGAGGAAAAATAAGTACAATATTAAGATCATGGCCCAGCACGGTGGCTCACACCTATAATCCTAGCACTATGGGAGGCCAAGGCAGGTGGATCGCTCAAGGTCAGGAGTTCGAGACCAGCCTGAGCAAGAACTAGACCCCGTCTCTACTATAAATAGAAAGAAATTAATTGGCCAACTAAAAAATATATATATATACATAAAAAAAAATTAGCTGGGTATGGTGGCACATGCCTGTAGTCCCAGCTACTCGGGAGGCTGAGGCAGGAGGATTGCTTGAGCCCAGGAGTTTGAGGTTGCTGTGAGCTAGGTTAATGCCATGGCACTCTAGACCAGGCAACAGAGTGAGACTCTGTCTCAAAAATAAAACAAAAAAAACCCGATCAAGACATATCTGCAGAAGGTGGGCTAGAATTAGAAAAAGCCAACACTTTTGCCTAGAGGTCCCCCCCTGGATAAAGACAGGGAGAACATAAGTATATGGGACTGAAGAACAATGCCAGGGTAGGAAATTTCTTCATGTTCAGAAATTTCTCTTTCTACAATTTTATGTTGCCTTTCATCTTCTATTCTGCCTTTGTGAGTGTTCAAATGTGGCACAATTATAACAAGCATTTTGGCACCTACAATAGCTTTGTTTAGAAGGCAGTGAGAAATTGAGGTGTTCACAAACTTAAAACTTTTAGCTGAAAATATCTATACTTCAATATCAATGTTATTGTTTATCAATCAGCCCTGGCCACTCCGTGCTCCCATAAACCTATGCACTCATAAATTTTACATACCATCAACCAAGTACACTAGGTCATCCTTTCTTTTTTGTAGAACTACCCTCTCCAAATTATGAGTAATGAAAAGACTATTATTACACACTACAAATTCTAAACTGTCTTTCCCACAGTCAGGGACTCAACATACAGTCTATGCTTGTGAAAAGAAAGCAGGCAAACATTAATAATAAAACTAGGATGAGGTACAAACTATCCAATAAAATGGAGCTTCGTTTTCATCCAAAAATAATATTTAATTTGTATGTACCATTTAAATTTTAAAATACCAATAATGTATCTCTTAAAATAACATTATTATCTTTTTAATCTCTTCCTCCAGGCTTGTGCTTAAACAAAAGAAAAACAAATGCACTTGCTGCTGGCAGCCACAGAGTGGGGAGCAGAGAAGGAAGTTGGCTTTATAGCAGTCCATTCTCCTTTACTAACTAGAATAAAGATACAGTTCAGTTAGTCTCTACTTACAGCACTCCACAATGACCTCATCTGTATCATCGACAGCCAGGCACGATTAACAAGACCACATATTACCACGTCTCTCAAATTGAGGTAGAAGAAAATCTAAACACAAAAATACACAATTTTGAAAAATATATGAACTTTGATGTAACTCTTCCACTTAGCTTTTATGTGTGTGTGTGTTAATAATGGTAATGTAATCTATACATTGCAATAGCAGGAGTTTAAGTGCTAGAATTTTATCTGAAGATAGGAATTTTTTTTTTTTTTGAGACAGAGTATTGCTCTGTTGCCTGGCCTAGAGTGTGAACCCCCCGTGGTGTCAGCCCAGCTCACGGCAACCTCAAACTCCTGGGCTCAAGCTATTCTCTTGCCTCAGCCTCCCAAGTAGGTGGGACTACAGGTGCTCGCCACCACACCTGGCTAAGTTTTTCTGTCTTTAGTAGAGACAGGGTCTCTTGCTCAGGCTGGTCTTGAACTCCTAAGTTCAAGTGATCTTCCCACTTTGGCCTCCCAGAGTGGTAGGATTACAGGCGTGAGCCACCTTATGTCTAGCCTGAAGATAGGAATTTTATCCAAAATACTAGAACTTATCTGCTGATGTCTTTTATATAATATAGTCCTTTTACTTGATAGTTGCAGAAGGATGGTGAGAAAGATAAGCATATTTGTTTTATTTTCTGAATGAAGGTAGAATTCTGCTAGAAAACGAGTGATTTTCTCTAAATAGTAGCTGTTACATAGAAGGCATTCAATAATTGTTTGCTGAATTGAACTGGATTCTTTCTAAAGTTATAGGATTCCTGGGAAAGATCAACAAACCCACTTTGGCTACTATTTCTTGGGAAAGGATAGACTAGAAAATCAGGAAATCCTTTTGATACAAAACATCAGTAAATGCTAAAACAAATTTTTATTTATTTTATTTTATTTTATTTTTTTGAGACACAGTCTCACTTTGTTGTCTGGGCTAGAGTGAGTGCTATGGCGTCAGCCTAGCTCACAGCAACCTCAAACTCCTGGGCTCAAGTGATCTTCCTGCCTCAGCCTCCCAAGTAGCTGGGACTACAGGCGTAAGCCATCACACCTGGCTAATTTTTTGTTTCTATTTTTAGTTGACTGACTAATTTTTTTTTCTATTTTTAGTAGAGATGGGATCTTGCTCTTGCTTAGGCTGGTCTTGAACTCCTGGCCTCAAGCAATCCTCCTGCCTCGGCCTCCCATACCGCTAGTATTACAGGTGTGAGCCACCACATCTGGCCAAAACAAATATTTTTTAAAAAACATTTCAGTTTTCAGGAAAGTAGAAGAAATCTCCAGGGCCTCAGTCATTGTAAACCCAGACTGGTAATAAAGTGTTCATGCTATAGTTGCTTGGGTGAGAGGTACAATAGAGATGGTTGCTGTTTTTCCGAATCTGAACAAATGGGCTATGAAGAGACAGAAGAAAGTCACTAGGCTTCTACAAAGCTGGTACAGTCATGCTCCATATAACAATGTTTCAGTCAATGGTGTACTGCATACATGATGGTGGTCCCATGCAATGGAGCAAAAAAATTCCTGTTGCCTAGTGATGTCATAGCCATTGTAAGGTTGTAGTGTGTTACTTAATTTTTTAATAAATTTAGTGTACAGTGTTCATAAAATCTACAGTTGTGTACAGAAATGTCCTATGCCTTCACATTCACTCACCACTTACTCAATGACTCATCCAGAGGACCTTCAAATCCCGCAAACTCCATTCATGGTAAGTGCCCTACATAGGTATCCCACTTGCTTATCTTTTAGACCATACTTTTACTGTACAATTTCTATATTTAGAAATATAGATATTTATAATTGTTTTATAATTACTTATAGTTTTCTGTACAGTAACATACTGTACAGGTTTGTAGCCAGGAACAAATAGGCTATACCATATAGCCTACATGTGTAATAGGCTGTATCACCTAAGGTTGTGTAAGTACACTCTATGATGTTCGCATGATGACAAAATCACCTAACAACACATTTCTCAGAATGTATTCCCATCTTGAAACAATGCACGACTGTAATTGTAACAGAGAGGAAGGGAGAAATCCAGAATTATGAAAGAGTTAGAAAAAATATCTACCACTGGCAAAAGAAAAACTAGGGTACTCAGCCTGAGAGAAGCAAAGTATCTCAGGAATGGAAAAACAAATAACTATATGTTCTCACTTATAAGTGGGAGCTAAGCAATGAGTATGCATGGCCATACAGAATGGCATAATGGACACTGAAGATTCAGAAGGGGGTAGGGTGGGAGGGAGAAGGAGAAATTACCTACTGATTACAATGTATACTATTTGGGTGACAGGTACACTAAAAGCCGTGACTTCACCACTATACAATTCATCCATGCAACAAAAAACCATTTGTACACTCTAAATCTATTGAAGTGAATTTAAAAAAAAAAAAAAAATCCTCCAAAGAATTTGTAACCAAAGACCAGCTATCATGTGTGTCAGGATTTGAATTTTAATTATTTGTGGGATATAATTTGAATTTATTACCTTTATAACAGATTTGCTGTATTAACATACAATTTCCAAGCTGGTAAAAACTCTGGGACAGTGGCATAAATAAATAACATTTTCTCCAAACAGACACTCAAGCAAGGCTTTATAGGATTCCCACAGATTAAGCCCCCCAAAACTTAGATCCCAATCAAAAATTGCAAAACACGTGAGGAAAAGAAACCCCCTCAAGAGTCAAAAGAAATAAAAACAATAACTTCATAAATAAAATTGTCAAATAGTGATTATAAAACCTTTAAAGTGATAAAAACATAGAAAGAAAAATAAAACTTGAGGATGTTGTCAAAAAAAGATTGGGCAGATACGTATTAAAATAACCAAATAAAATTCATGGAAATTAAAAATGTAATTATTAAAATTAAAAACTCAATGGATGAGTTAGATAGCAGATGCAACTCAGCTAAAAAGAGAGTGAACAAACTGGAATCTGTATCTGAACAAATGACAGAAGATAAGTTATAGAAAGATAAAAAGATGGAAAAATACAAAGGATGTTAAGAGACACATTACATAACATGAAAAGGTCCAACATACATCATTATAGAATTTCCAGGAGGGAGTAAGACAATATAATTAAAGCAAAATTTTAAAATACCACAGAATAAAATGTTCTAGAACTAATGAAAGGCAACAATCCTCTGATTCAAGAAGCACAAGAAGTTCCAAGCAGGAAAATGAAGATATTTGTGGCATTGTTGTGAAATCGCAAAAGGCCAAAAACAAAAAAATCTTAAAGGAAACCTCCAAAAGAATGTCACTTAGACATCAATGAAATAAGGCAGAAGTCAGCAGAAAATAATTATCAATCTCAGATACCATATGCAAGTAAATTACAGCCCAAGAATGAGCTGTAAGAAAAGACACTTTTTCCAGGCATGGTGACACATGCCTGTAGTCTCATGGAGTCTGAGATGGAAGGATTGCTTGAGCGCAGGAGTTTGAGGCCAGACTAAGTAACACAAGGAAACCCTCTCTTGCTACCAAGAAAAAAAATTATTTAAGAAAAATACTTTAAGACAAAGAGAGTTTTCTTCCAACAGACCCTTTACAAAGGAACTTCTAAAAAACACTGAAAGCAGATGAAAGGTATGAGATCCAATAGCAGTAATGGGCAAAGAATCTAGTAAGAATGTAGGTAGAATCACTAACATTATAAAACAGTATAATGATGACTAATATGGGAGTATAAAAAGAAGGTGGGACAAAAACACTAGATAATAATAAGACTCTAACAATGGAGAGAGTAATCAGAGTTAAAGTGCTCTAAATTTAGGTTATTACTCAGGAAGAAAGTATAAATGTACTTTCAGCCTTATTAGTAAGTATACATGTTAAAAATATTTAAGAGTAACCAGTAAAATAGTAGAAATAGAATGTATATCTTCTAAAACATAAAAGTGGGAAAAAGGGGGTAGATTTTAAAACTCAATAAAGGCAAGAAAGGAGAAAAAAGCATATAAAAAGATAATAAATCATATAAAATAAAATGAGAAGAATGAATCCAAGTATATCAATAGTCACAATGAATTTAACAAAATTCACTGGTTAGAAGACAAAAATTATCCCTAATAATGCTTTTTGCCTTGATGTTTTCTCTGATATTAATACAGCTCTCAGCTTTCTTCATTTTATTTTATTTTTAATTGACAAATAATAATTATAATATATGTATGGGGTACAATGTGATGTTTTGTTTTATATTTACAATGTGGATTGATTAAACTGGGTTAATTAATCATTCATCACATACTATTACTTTTTTTGTGAAGGAAACATTTAAAATCTACTCTGCCAGGCACAGAAAGACAAATATTGGGTGATCTCACTTATATATGGAATCTTAAAAAGTTGAACTCATAGGAGTAGAGAGTAGAATGATGGTTATCAGTTTTCCTTTCATTAGTGTTTATTTTGTTTCATATTGTGTTTTAGGTAGATTTTTAAAGCTCACCTGATAGACTGTGACTACAAAATAACTAAAGGAAACAATTTATCAGAGATATATAACAATCTTAAATGTGTAAGCATCTAATAATATAGCCACAAAGTTATAAGGAGAAATTGACAAATCCATAGTCATGATGAAAGATAATATCAAAACTATCTTATTAGCTGATAGATCAATATGAGGGAATAAATCTTATTTGGATTTCTCAGTGTTCCTGTGAAAATCTCCAGCCTTCAGAGGCATAGTATCAATATGATATAAAGAATGTTTAGCCTTCACTTCCTTTACATTTTACTTTCCATATACCATCATGATTAGATTTGTAGCCACATGTCTAGTTAATTTCTCTGATCCAAAAGGATAATAAATCTTCTCTTATCTCCGCAAGAAGGTCAAATGGTTATAGCCTGGATTAGTCAAATTTCTAAGGTTCCACTAGTAATTTACATTGCAAGGAGAAATGTGGTCCCAGGGCCTCTAGGTCATAAAAGCTAGAGATACTCGGGCTTATCTGGCCCTTGGAGAGATGTATTACAAGAAAGCCTGCCTCTCTCTTTTACTTATAAGCATTCTTGTGATTTCATTGGGTCCACCCA